AATTTGTGAATCCCGTCAAGCTACTCAATTTCTGAACGTTCCATGCCGTGCACAATATGTTGTAGAAATTTTATTTACGAATTATATAAATTTTAGATTCGTTCGTGAACTAGCTTCCATTTGCATTCCATTCGTAGATTCAAATTATAAGTTGTATTCTCTTTTTAAATCAGTATCCGGGTTAAGTCGCAGGTAATAACTAGTTTACGAATGAATCAACAGTTTCTATTTATTATTCGAAAATAAAATTTGCTTAATTTTATTAGATGTCCCTAAAAGAAACCATCATCCTCAAAGCCTACGAAATTTCTATAGTAAACGTTACGTAGAATTTTGCCCTCGATCAATTTTAATATAAGTTCATATTTTCTCGTTCAAAAGCATCTACTACAAAGGGAAACGAAATGCATGTTAATTATATCGTTTGTTTTTCACCGGAACATTGCTTACTTAGCCTGCCAACTGTAAGGAGATTTTAATTTTATATTTCATCGATGTTTAGTCGAACGTGGATTTTTTGTTATTAAGAAAAAAGAAGCAAAAATTAATAAGGAAAAGACTACAATATTTTACGAGCACTACGCAACCACAATTTCGATAATAATGTTTTCGTAGAGTATCATGTAAAGTACGTTTATAAATCGTAAATATTAAACATCTGCAGGCTTGATGAAACGACAGGACTAACAATGGCACAGCAGATGCAAAGGAAATAACTAATTAACTTTTTACGTTTCAACTCGTGTGTGGTTTCTTGTCGGAAATTTTTCCTCATTAAACTGCGAAAATATTACATTATACGTTGTGTGATCATAACGTGGATAAGTATAAAAACATTGTACGAGGATTTTCAATACGTGTGCGAATACGCGCATGTGTCAGATTGACCGAAACGTATGGGATAAAATTTGCTAAAAATAAAAGATATCATTCGAAAGAATATTTTGAGTAAATAATGTATGTAGTAATAGAGAACAAATTTCAATTCATACTTTGGATAGTAATTGAAAATAATACTTCCTACAGTGCTTTAGATTTTGCTATGTTATGACTTTAAATTTTAGTCGAAAATAAAACCTTCTTCTTAGGATAGGCGGCAATCACATAAAAACATTTGTAAAAAATTAAAAATCCCTAGGTTTAACTTCAGTTTTAAAATTAACACTCAAAGGAAGCCTAATTTCGCGCTCTTTAGACCGAACTACCCCCTATGTATCTTTTGTTTCTAAAAACTTCTCGAATCCACCCCTGCTGTCCTCTATTGTTCGTATCGTACCCAAACTAATCAATAATATGAAAATAAAACGAACACGGATATATAAAACGCACAACAACGGAATACTAACTCTCGTACTACGTGACACGATTAGTCATTTTTCTTGATGGCGCGTTCAACTTTCGTAATTTCGTGCCACGTCCTGACGTTGTCGCGAGGAACCGCTCGTAAAAACTAGACTGTGAGACTATGAACGCTTGTAACCTTTCAATTTTTTCTGTTTTCTTTCTTTTTTTAGTGCCGCTTATGTCGATATTTATTCATAGCATGCGGAACGTTCTTGGCACGCTCTAATCTTTTCACGCCCGTACAGGATGCAACGATACGTCGCATCTGGAAGTAGACCATTATTCGCGAAAAATTCCATAAAAAGAAAGAGAATAAACATTTTGGACGCGAAGCAGACGCGCGTGTTTTCGATACCGAGTACAGTAATGATTCTTAAACCGAACATCAAATTTTCCAATTACTTTTTCGCGTGAAATTATTTGCCATACATAGTTGTCTCGTCGAATGAACGTATTTGGGATGAAAATAGGCAGTCCTGAGCATCAGTCTAACAATTTAACGTACAACCGGGAGACTAATGCGACGGATTCCAAAAGGGAATTGCAATTGTCATTTGTACGGACGACGCAATATACGATGGAACCGACCTTCCAGTCGACCGACCTCCATCCCTCGCGCAGAAAACCAACACGTGGGTTCCACGAGGGTAACAGCGAGGAAAAAGGGGGATTCCAGAACATTAAGGAGGCAAGAAACAAAGAGGACACCGGAATCAGGATAAGGTGGACCGCGTGAGACGGAATAGCGAAAGCAAAAAAAAACCTGACCGTCCAACATTTTAACTCGACATTGCGCGTTCATCCGCTTATCGCGAAAAATCCCATTTTTATTCTTCCACCGAATCTTCCACGTGTTCTATAAACAGCCATTTTTCTCGACCAACCCTAAAACCACCGATATATCTGATCGTCGCCGTCAAACTGGGCCACAATATCCCACGTCCCATCTCATTTCCTGCTCTTCCTACTTCTTTGTCTCTGCTTCGCCTTCTGTCGACTTTCCAAGGCGTATTCCATTTTCAGGGAACGGTCGACCATACTTTCACGCTTGGTCGCCCAATTCATCTACAATTTTCAATCCCCCATACGTATCTCGAAAACAAACCGAACCCAGGACTCGGTTTTATTAAAATTAAAAGCGTTGAACATGTCTTAAATTTTGTGATAGAACGCACCATAAACGTAAACATCGACAAAAATAAATACAATCACGGTTCAATACTATTTTTCTGGTTTGATTTCATACGATTAGGATTCAGAATACAAACGAAAGATTGGGGGTGTTTAAATGTCTAATGAAGAAGATAAATTTATTGACTAAAATTATATCGAACTTCGACACCTTTGATTATTTTTTTGATACCATTCCACCTGGATATTTTTACTTTATTTCGCCCCCGTTACCCCTTCCTAAGCTTCCGTTATATATATTTTATTTATCCACACGTGAAATAATTAATACTCAACCTAAATAACGAACAGGTAAATTTGTACAGTCGTCAAATGTTTCAATGAGGAAACGTCAAACATAATTCCCGTATTATTTCCTCGACGAACATTATATAAACTGCTTTTATTAGGTTCCGAGTTGGTCGCATTATGTAAAAGGGCAATGGTTTTCGAATATTTTTGGAAATTATCCCCTAAAACGAGAGAGAATTTCTGTGTCCAAAATATATGGAAAAATCATTTCCGTGCGTTCAATTAAATTATTGAATAATTAAGTTATTCTTATACATGTTGATTCGTGGGACTTCCTACTGATTGAATGTGACAGATTATTTAAGGACAGCATCTGGCCAAACTGAGTGCTTCCAACACGTTCGCGCTACTAATAAAGATACAATTACTACATTTTATACCGAAAATAACGTCATTCAAAACAAAAAACCACGAATATTATACTATTTCTATACAATCTCTTCTAATATTGACACGTACAAGTACGTTTAGCTTTTAACTATTCATAAGAAATCTAAAAATGTCCAATACGAGCAAAGCGATAAACACGAACAGCAACTTATCCCCACATAGTTGCGTTGCTTTACGAAAATATCATATTCTCCATTATGGTTATCGAAGACTTAAACTCTGCTAAAAAATGTAATCACGTTTTTCCGTAGCACACATTTTCTTTCGCCTCCCGTGAATCGAAAAACGTCCTCCAACGGAAAATATTACAATGGCGGATTCGGAAGGGCACCTTTCCCCATCGTACCATGCACGTTTCGCGCAGAAGGTAGAAACAAGACGAAAGAGGTGTGCCCGATAGCAATTCCACGAACAAAAAAGTTATTTCCCGCAAGTTTCCCCGGACTACGTGACACGTATTCCGTGGATAAGCTCGGAAGATCACCTTCTCCTCGGCGAACGACGCTCACGCAATCGTTCGTGTCCTGCTCCCGAAATACTTTCAGCCCCGTCCACTCCGAGTTCCACCCTACGCGGCCACCGAGGATATTGCGTACACGAAGGAACGCCGGACATGTACGGTGAAAGAAGACGCTCTTCGTCGGGAAAAACTCGTCAGGACGATAAGCATCTGGTCGGGGGGGCCCGAAACGACAAAGTTATCGGGATCGAATCCGGGTGACGGATGACTCTAATCCGCTGAGCGAACCGAATCGGATCGAGAGACGATCGGTAATTCGACGACTTGAATTTCGACGAAACGAACAACGGGGAATTAAAAGTCCCTTAATTTCAAGAACGTACGCGAAATTTATTCGTCGGAAAATTAGACCCCGGCTCCGCGTGGAAGAAGAAACTTTTCCGAGGACCCTCATCGTTCGCGGGAGTTTCGACTGGAAACTTCGTTCCCATCCTCGCGCAGTGTTTCGTAGACGAGAGGAACCGCCTCGCCACGGGCCATCGGCCCGGAAACGCTGCAATTTCGTCGACATCCGGAACCTCGACGAAAAATACACGACAGCCCACGGGGCTAGAAGTTCTCGAAAACTTTCAAGACTTCCTCTCTAAAACGGCCAGGCCTGTCTAAAATCTGAGGCACGCCCGGTTCCGGCGATCCTACACATCCACTGAAACCAATTTCGGCCGTTTCGTGGGAAGTTCTTTTCGCGGAAAGGCAATGTGAAGAATAACTCTTGCGTTGAATATTTTTTTTACCGACGAAACGATAGCAGTCTTGTTAAGTTGAGTATATATATGTTGAAGATCTGTTGTTTGAAAACTGGTATCTTGTAAGTGTACTGATTTTGCACCATTATTGGAAACGAAACTATAATTCGCTAAGCTTATAGACCAAACATTGGCATAACATAATAAATATTTGTAAAAGAATAACAAATTTTGTACTGTTATAACAATTAATTTATATTAGGTGCATGCAAATGTTTCCAATGTTTTTAGAAATCCTTAGTTTCTGAGCAAATGGAAATTACACAACATTTTTTAGAATTTCTTTATCAATGTTTCACTTAATTTTTGAAGTTGTTGTTTATATACAGCTGCTATGACATTTTAGTCTGAATTTAACAACTCATAATATGGATGTCTCGCCAAATAGAGTGTTTTCTACTTCAACAGCTAAACTTCAAAAATCTAACTAGGACTGTACAGAAATCAACATGGAGAATTACCTATATTCAATCGATGGAAACCCTTGCATACCTCTAATATCTATTTTTGCTGGTCGATCGCGTCGTTCTCGTTCAAAGCATTGTGGCAGGCATGTGACCCGCTTAACTGCTTAATTATTTACTCAGAGCACTAATGATCTAATAATTTAGTATATTAATAATACTGTACTTGTAATAATGGTAGTGTATCGCATATACACTCTAACGTTTGTAATATTTAGTTCACCTTTCTGATTACTCAATAATATATAAACTCTTTCCTTTTATACAGTTTCTATTTGTTTGTCATTATATTATTGTCAAAATACGTTTTGGGGGATATACCTTCAACCGTATAAATTATACAAAATTTTGCATTTGGAATCTATAAACACAAAATTAATTTTACTTCTATTTTAATTCATTTAAAATGATGTTAATTTTTATGGAACGAATATTTAACTTATCGAACAAAGCAAATTAAGTTTAATGTTGGCAAATAACGCGATACAAAACAGAAAGTAACATATTTGTGTAGATTTCTTCGACTGAAATATAAAAATGGAGGCGGCATTTAAATACTATATAACCTCTTGAAGATAATAGAAAATATATACATGTACTTTTGGTTTTTAAGTTGATTTAAGTATTGCGACATTGGAACAACCACTACAACTGCAAATAAATATATCATATTTAAATTGCCCAATGATCGCAATATTAATCGATATCGCGGGTCAATATCAGTCAGCAATTCAGTTTACTTTACATAAAATCAAAATTATGCAGAGAAATATACTTTCATAGTCATTTCTATCAATCCATTAATAGAAATAGACTTCAATTATCTAAGTTTTTCTGTATGAAAAAATCCTTTTCCCCCTTGCATTCTAAAACATCCAGTTCGTTTCGAAAAACACTATAAAATTCATGAACAACTATACGCACACTATACTCCACACAATTTTAGCAACAATTAAACATTTCATTTTCACTCGGTGATGTTCTTTCAATTTCTTCTTATTACGTTTCCTCAAGGCAAAGAAATTCGCACCGTGGAATTGTTTCGAAAATGTTGTGTCGCGACACCCTGGGTCATAAGTGACACGACAAGTCAAAGTACGAAAGAACTGTTATTCAAATACAGTATTTTACGCGGCAGGTTGTGCTCCCCTCTCCATCTCCGTCCCCCTCGAAAGAACGGAAACAGTTTCTTGGTTTTCGCACGGAAACCCGAGGTGGTTCTCTCGAATGCTTTTAGTGGCGGGCGTCTAGCTTTCAGAGGCGACGTAGTTTCACGCCAAATAAGGAGAACATGGCGGGCCGAACCGAGCGGTTGAATGGCAGGGATTGCAGGGCGAAGGTAAAAACGAAGAAAGCAGAAGAAACGGTCGAGCAAAAACGAAGGGCGCGGGAGACGGGGAAGGGTTAGAACGAGAGGGTGCCGGGAACAAATGCGAACCTCCGCCTCCATTACGTCGGGAACTACGAACGTCAGGGTTGGGTAGCACGGAAGACAGGAGATGGAAGAGATTCGTGGAAATACCGTGGAATTGGATAAGCCGGCGCAGGGTTTGTTTTGCCAGGGGTTCGCAATGAGGGTGATAGGCCGATCGTGAGCAAGCACATCGCGTGATCGATGCTCATAGGGGCGCGGGTGTATCGCGTGTCTCGTGCAACTTTCTTCCGTTCACCCTCGAGGAACAGGGACCCGATGATGCGAGACAGACACTCACCCCGTTAACGGCGGATAATTGGATCTATGGATCGGATTGAGCGTACGTAAGAAACTTCCAAACGGGGCTTTGATCGGAACTTTTCCATCCACCGCGAATAAATAAATCTCGAAAGCTTATCGTAGCTACGAATAGAAACGATCACGCTCATATTTGTGTTCGACGTACTTTAATACGTTTAGTAAAATTGATAAAATTTTACTACTACCGCATGGGGGCAAACGTCCAGAAACCAATGAATAGAATGTACACAAAATTTGGGACATATTCGTCGGAGTAATGATTCTTAAAATGACCCGCAGATGTGATTCGTAAGTAGAACGTTTCTATCCCTCAACGATATTGCTATGTATAAATATCCTACGAAAGATGACCAACCCCCGAAGTTCATCTTACGAATCGTTACTGTAAACTTTCGACTTCCAAGAATAGAAAATGGTTTGTAGACGATACCGATGTAGATCGGTAACCAGGGATCGATAGGTCATCCGAATGACAACTTTTTCTTTCACGTTCGTCCGAGACGTACAATTTCGAGCGATTCTCCGCAACAACGATTTCTCCGATCGTTCAATTATTCGCGAGCAAAGAAGCGAAGGAATATCGACAATGGGTTATGCGACGCATAAAGCGACCGAAGAGAGACGGTGGCAACCCATATCCGACGATAAGATGGCACAGAACTATCGGAGAGGGTTGCTCGCCCTCGTCAAACTCTATCCACGAGGCGAGTCGAATATGCGGAGAGAATGAACAAGAGAGGGAGAGAAGCGCGGGGTGGTAAGGTGAAGTCGGAAAGGAAGGAGAGCGGGAGGCACTAGGTGCTGTTTGTTGAATCCTCGAGATCAATACAACCTACTCTATCTCTTTCTGCCTCGTAATTCCGTGAGCCTAAATGTGCGCGTGTACACGGCCGTGCGCGTGTGTGTACAGTCCGCCACACATGTGCACGTCGCAAAGTACACACGCGAATGCACGGAAATGCGACGTGTCAAGACGGAGCAAATGAAACACGCGCGCTTCCCGACCACCGGTTTTAGCGCACGCGTCGATATTTTAAAAGCAGCCTATACAAAAGGGTAACGTTTAAAGGCAAACGTAGCCAGAACCGCTGTGCCCCGAATCGCGAATTTAGTTCGCGGGTTGCTTTTCGTGCTCGAAAATAATTCGCCCCGTTTCCGTGCCGCGTGTAACCGCGATTCCAACCAATTGCATTTCCGTTTCGTTTCCCGTCGCGCCTCTCCGCCTAAGCGGCCGAAAGAGAAAATTATTTTCGACGCTTCTGCTCCTTCGTTCTGATTCTTTATTCATCTCCGCCCCCCTCTCTCGCCCCTCTCGCCGATGAAACGAGTCCACGAAAGGGATGAATGCCGCCCTTATCGACGTTTCCCGCGAATGACTTTCTTTCGCGGAACGAGGCCGACGCATCTCTCTTTCTGATTGTGCCACTTGTGCCGATAAGAATTCCGCAAGGAGCGCTTCAAGAACTCTCTCTCTCTCTCTCTCTGTCTCTCTTGGCCAATCGCGGAGGCTTACTTATCGCAGCCTCGAAGGATTGGCTGCGCACTGCGGTACAATACGAAAATAGGTCGGCCAATCCTCGTATCAGCATCCTCTTTCGCCACCTCTTTGCCTATTCGCCACCTCCGCCCTTTAATTCCTAACTATCAGAAAAAAAGAAAAACGTAAGAAATATCTATCGAACGTTCGGTGCAACGCACTCCCTTAACTATCCTATTTGCAACTTTACATCGTATGTACAACAACTACGAATATTTATTGCGAGGTTTCGTTTAGCGTTCGATCCGTCTGTCCCGAGCTACTTTTTTTTTTTTTTGGAGTCTACCGGAGGGGTCGAATACGAATGCAGATTGCCAGCATCCGCCTTTATCGACCCTCTTTCAACCCCCGAACATCGTCGAGGGGCTGGACGATTCTCTCGTCGATTGTTCGATCGATCAACGATACGGGTTCGAGTCACTGTTTATCCTCGGACCATCTATCGGGCGCTGGGTACTGTTGCTGAGACTGTTGACCGCTGGAAGATTGGGAACCGGATTGCTGCTGAACCTGCGTGTGCGTCTGTATCTGATACAACGGATAACTCTTCCGTTTCCTGATCCCGTGCATCGACAACAAATGTATCTGCAGGTACTGCTTCGTTTTGAACTGCTTGCTGCACACGTGACAGGACACGAACTCGGTCTGAACGGTGTGCACGTTCACGATATGCTGCTTCAGGTTCGAGTTGTTCGAGTAAATTTTACCGCACTCGGGACACTTCGGTTTACCGGACTGATTGATGCTGTCCGACTGGTGTTGCTGTTGCTGCTGCTGCTGAAAACGACGCTGATGGAACAACGCCATGCTCTCGATTTTGTCCTTCGCGCACGATTGAAGCATCAAGTTCAGTTCGCTCTTCGCCGTGGAGGTGGATTGTTGTTGTTGTTGCTGCAAGCTCTGCAGATTGTTCTGTAGCTTTTGGTGCATGATCGTCAGCTGCTCGGTATTCAGACTGTTCAGGGAGTTCAAGGCATTGAGCGCTTGTTGCTGCGACGGTTGGCTGGTGGCGTGGAGGTGATGATGATGATGCTGGAGGAGAGACGATAGATCCTGGCCTTTCGAGTTGTGAGCTCCGCTCTGGTATGTTCCAGACGCCGCGTGGTCGTTCCTCGCGGAGGACGTTGCCGGCAACCAACCGGAACTCGAACTTGAACCGTCCCCTCCGGAGGGCTGCCATCGCCCTGGAACCACCAGCCAATGTCAGTCCTCAGCCAACCTCGTACGATCACCTTAAACACTATTCAATTTTTTTCCTCCCACAGCCCTTCGTTTTCTTTCGATTCGCAGCCGGTATTTCTTTCTTATATCCGGTTTTTTTCGGTTTTAGTCCGAGCAACAGTCCGGTTTTATCCCTCCCCCAATTTCGTGGCAACAATTTTATTACGTTTTCTTATTTTTTTTTTTTTTTTTTATAGTTTTTTAATGCGGTAACGTGTACTCTGTCCTTCTTCATTGCCAGTCCGTACTTCCACCGTCTTTTCCATAAACAGTTTCGTCGGTCGATCGTATATTTGTACCTCGTGAACCGAGAGCGACCAATTAACTCGTTTAGCCTCGGCAAGGTTCGAAGGGTCGTTAAGAATTCGAGTAAAGAGTCAAGCTAGGCTTTGCATGGCAACCCTAACAACGTTCTAGCGACTGCAGCGTTTGCGGAGGAAATCGATAATTCCGGCGAACGAACTCGAAGAGCCGTCGGGAGACGCGGCTCCGCGATGCGTTACTCACCGTGATATTCTTTTTTTTTCATTTTATTCAACGGGGGTAAGTTGGGCAAGGGGATGCGGGGTTGTAAGAGGTACGAGAGTTCCATGCATTCAACGCAACAACGAGAGACCAGAGTCTTGAGGGATCGACGGGAGGATAACTAGTCTGGGCTACGAAATCGTATAAACTGTGAAATCGAATCGTTGCTCTGATCACTTACCGTAATTTGGATCCTGATTCGCCGCGTGGATCCCCGACGGTCCTGGTATCAGTCCTATAATTGTCAATTACAGTCACGATCATCGCCTGTCCCGTACAATTTATGTGGTTTATGGGAACCGTCGAAGACAGTTTGGAAAATCAACCGATACTCTAAATCGACGGTACGGTAATGATTCTTAAAATGAACGTGATTCGTAAATTGAGCCTTTGGAACCAGCAAAACGCAAAGCTCGACGTTAAAAGAAACGATACAAGCTAACGATTCGTACGAAAGACACGTCGAGCAATGTTCGCTTTAAGAATCATTACTGCGTTCGGTCAAGACAAAAAGACAAAGAAGAAGAACGATTTTGAGACGAATTAAATTATCGTTGGAAAACTTTCGGGTGAACTGGGCTTGAAATTTACCTGGTAATCCCAAAAGTGCCGCGGGAAACGAGTTACGATGATGCTCCATGGAGTCGTTCAGGATGTCGCTCGGCTCGGTTTTCACAGAGTTCAGAATGCTGTCGTTGTTCGACATATCCTCCTCGTTGTCCGACATGGAATTCGAGTCCTCGCCGGTAGACTGTGCCTACGATAAACAATAACGCTTCCTCTTTTACTCGGTTTCGACGAATATTCGTAAACGTAGACCGTTAATCGATCGTTCCTCTCTTACCTGTACGTTGTTGGTGGGCGTTGTGTGTAACGTGGGTCCTCCTTCCAAAGCCTGACCCAGAAGCGAGTCCTGAAGGTCCGTTTTCGGTTCAACGTGGTTACCAAGCGGCGGAGTGTTGCTTCTAGGTCTCTTCTCTAGCGGTGGACTCAAACCGCTCTCGTTCAACTCTCCCCTGCCGTTGTCTTGCCAAGGATTACGCGGCGTCGCCTATCGGTACACAAACATTTTCCAATAATTCACGTACGATAAAACTCTATTCGTCGATCCGAATGGAACTCTACGCGATACAGCAATGATTCTTAAAATGAACGTCGCTTCGGGGTTGGCGTATTCGTTTCGAAAAGGACTCTGTGCAATTTTTCGTCCATTCATCGTATACTTCTACATTGTTGAGTTAATAAACTGTGGTCTTTAAGTTGGGTGTATAGAAACGTTCAATTTACGAATCGCGTATGGAGGGGCTCATTTTAAGAATCATTACCGTATCCGTGCCTCGAATCGAACAAAATCAGTGTATTAAACGTTAGAAAATGTGAATAAAAAAACTCACCGGTGCGCTACCGTTGTAACCACCGGAAGACGAGGGAGGCGGGATCTTGGCGGTGGCGGCGCCGCTGTTGACGTCGGCTAACCCTCGGACCTGGAGCATCTGCGCCGTCTTGAGGAACGCTGCCAGCTGCTCCTGGCCCACGTGCACCTCGCCGTGGTACATGAATCGCAGCAAGGACTCCATGTCCGAGGAGGCGACGTCCCTCAGGATCACGATCGGATGTTGGCATGGGTTGGCCTGCAGCGAGAAAGCAAAAGAAACCGGTGATTCGAGGAATGTGTCTCTCGGTCACCGGGGAACCGACTGGAATTAATTCTAGATTGCGCTGTCCAGCGTTGATTATGATCGATGCCGACCGGACGGATATCTCGTTCATGTAAATCAGTTAATCCTATTTATCAAGCTGGCTCGCCCCGGCCAGAGCCGGTCAATTGATCTACAACGACGATTTACAACCTGGACGCGCGTAACGAGCGACATTCAATCCACGTCGTCGATATCTTTCGCTCGCTTTTAACGACTCCGCGGACCACTCACGGGATTCTTTTACTTTTTAATATATACCCCCGACGAGCGGCTACAAATTGACTGCTCGCGCATAACGCCCGGCCCCACAAACCACGGACGATCGTCTCCCGACAGCGGATGGAAATTTATATGGACGCGTACGCCGCGCAACTTACACGCGAGAGGCGTTCACCTCGATCTATGTCCTGACAATATACGGAGCGCCGGTTACCATTATCGACACCGATATTAATTATTATTAATGACCGACGACGCGGGGGTTTCCACAACGCCATCACGGTTATTTCGATGACGAGGGGGAGGGAAGGGAAGTGTCGTACGCGTAAACGGTGCGTTTCGCGCGACGAAACACGCGAAACGCTAGTGACCGGGTGGTTCTCGACGAAAACCCGGTCGATTTCGTTCGATTATCGATACGCTCGAAATCGTCGGTACACGGCTAAAGCACCGCCGTGCGGGAATATTTATTATTGTCGGTCGCTATCGACTTACCCGCGCTGTTATAATCGTTCCCGGTTTTGTAACATCGACTCGGCGTATTGACCGGTTGGAACTCGATGCCGCCGATCGAGTTGAACGGTTTTTTATTTTTCTTTTATTCTTCTTAATATTTCGCGTCGTGAAAGGAGGTGTGCTCCGGCGGCAGCGGCGCAACGCGATTCGGTCTGAAAATTTTATTGCGTTAATATCACAATAAAATATAAGTTTCGCCCTTTCGAACCGAGGCTGCTCGCCGGGAGAGACCAGCACGCACGTTTCGTGCGGCCAGAACGTACAATCTTGCGAATATTTATAGTCGGCTGTGAGATTTTTCTCGAAGTCGGATTCCTTGTATTAACGCGCCATAAGTATCGTTCGTTTTTTTTCTCTGCGCGTTAACGCGTACGTTTAACACGTTCACTGCCGTACCGAACCCCTCGAATTATCCAAGGAAACGATAACTCTGCTTTCAGACAATTGGAAACTAACTTTTTACAAAATTCAAGAGTCCTATCTAACGTCTGATCTTGAGAAAAAAAAATATATGAATTAATTTGGGACGTCCTTTGACCAGTTTGTTTAGTTAAAACACAAAATATTATTTACAAATAAGCTCGTGTCTATGATCGATGCGATAACTCTACTTTTGATCGCCCTACAAAAAAAAAACAAAATTATGGTGCAGAAATATAACGTTTGAATTAAAATAAATTAATTATTTGTTCTACGTTTGTAAATCGCGATTTAAATTATGATATTTAGAAATAAAACTAACATAACGTTATATCAAAGGGGTCCGGACGAAAGCAATAGTTTTAAAAATAGTGTCGTCATTAATACAAGACACCGTTTTCCACTCCCTCGAAGTACCTAACCCAGATCTTTCACGTTAGTTTCAAAACGAAGATTGTAACGTTCCCCGTTGATGTATTAACACTTTGACCACCATGCCAATTTTACAGCAGACGCCCGGAGGGCCACTCTAAACGTTCTCGTAATTTACTAGCTCATTCAGGCTACGAAACGTTATCCTACATTCATATTTTGAAATTAACACAGCCGTTAAAAATTACACACGTTGCGGTTATGTAACTTTTCCCGACGGTTTGTCCACGACGTCGAATCATTGAAACGATTCTTACTACTTCTTGGAACGTGAATATACAGTCACTCCCATTCGTATTCACTTTAATGGTGATACACTATAATTGAAAAGAAACTTGTTTCTTATGAATGGAGTTTGCACCGAGATATTTAAGAGTTTAATTTAAAAATAAAACGTCAAAGAAAAGTAGAAAATTACGCAAAAATCCGTGACTAAAATAATAGAATGATTCAAGAACTCAGAATGTTATTAGTCACGAGGAGTTTTTGTAAACACGAGTACCCTCCCACCCCTCTCCTTATTAACTGTATCGCGATACCGATACAAACCGTTAACGGTCGCAGGATTCTATTTTAAAGGAGCAATTATTCATAGACACGATTTCGAACCGACCAGGAATGCAGCGGCAATTCCCCGCGTAACTGTCGTAATCATGGAAACACACGCATAACGGCATTATAATAACCGTTCGATGGAAATTTTTATTATAGCAACGCTAGCTCAATGGGATTACGATACATATCGGCGTAAACATTGCGACATAGAACGGCGCGCAGCCGTGTCTATTATTCGTCGAGGCGACACCGTTCGAAACAGAACGGCGATTTCGATCTGACCAATTTAGCCCACTCAACGAAGCCGAAACAAAATGAAGAAAGGGAAAAGTTTTGAAATTTTTCAGAGAAGTTTTTCAAGATGTATCATCGAACGAATAAAAAGCTTAGGATTCGCAGGAAAACAACTTTTAACTTGAATATAAATGTTTCACACATCTACGTAGAACGCTTGTGAATCGTTGATTCTATGGAAAAGATAATTGTTACAAAATTCTCTGCAATAAAGGTTCTATTCGTACTTTCAATAACCTCTATATCGAGAGAATCAGTCTTTGTGGTTACAGGAGCACTGCAATTTTATTCGTAAATAATGGTATTTTAAAATTTTGAACGTGTTATTATTTAAATTCTCATCTTTCTGAACGCAGAATGTGTAATCAATTTTTCAGTAAAACCTAATGAAATTCTCTTCCATTCTTTCCCCTAAAGCCTTCTCGAGTCTTTCCTATTTGTTGTATCCTTTTCCTGATATCTCTCTCCAAATAATTCCTTGCGTATTTAATTTGGTTTAAATTTGGTGATCGAGGTGGAGGAAAAGAAATATTCACACGTTCTTCGATCATCTGAGAATTGTACTCGCGTCGAAGTTTGGATTTATTGGACGCGTGTTTAAATATACTTCTCTGTTCCAGTTGTTAGCACTGATCCCCCCCCAAATGGTCAGTGAAACGCAAGTATCTTCGCGATGCAAAGGGACGTACGACGACGAGAGAGGAGGGAAGAGAAAGGGAACGGAGAACCCCGCTATGGACTCTCCTTTATCGCATTAACCAATTTAATTAACAACTTTGAGACGGACTACCCCCCACTAATTAGACCTAACACGATTAAAACGGGTCAATAATTAATTGTATGGACGGTCGTGCGTCGCAGCCGACCGGGCGAATGGCCGTCGAGTTTGCGATTCGCCTCGCAGACGAATTATTTTCTTCGTTTATTTTTTTTTCGTGTACACGCCTCGAAACGACGTACCACGGTACCGCGACGAAGCCGTAATTTAGAAATTGAATCGATGGTAATTAGACACGTCGGTGCCGGACACGTAATAATACGCCGCTTCAAGCCCAGGGAATTATATTTCGCGCACGCATTCCGCCAACAACGAGGAAAAAATACGTTTCTGCGCACGTCGTTCGATATTGCTACCAACAACTCGTTCGTATAATATTATACGTATAGTCGTCTTTTTATCGCATCGAACACCGAAGGTCCCTTCGACTTGAACGATATAATCGTTACCGCGTTCGAAATCGGTTACATTTCGTACCGAAAGGGGATAATCACGATCCTACGATATCGAGAAGATCGATCATTTCCTTCTACACGTTTCGTAACATTCAATCTTGTAAGAAACAGCAGAATATTAAATTTAAATTATACTTAAAAGTTTGTATATTTCTCGAAGTTGACTCGAAATGTTCGAATTAAATTTAAACTCAATTTTCTTCCTCCTATTTTTTTCAATCGTAAACTTTTATTTGGAATTTTATTTTGATATTCGAGGAAATAATGTTACGGAGTATTTTGAACCGTACTTTTACGTACTTCAAACATTTGAGAAGTAGTGTAGAATTCTAAAACTTGGGAATAAATGGGGCTGAAAATTGTACACGTGCAAAAGAAATGTCCCTTTACGGTGCACATCATGTTTAACTTCATATTTACTTTAGTCTTAATGATTAAAATACTTTGATCAAAGCTACGTGAAGATCTTGAATCGTGAACCGTTTCATTTCTACAAGCACGATCTATAATAAATCGCGGGTAAGAGGGTCACGAGACATTTCATGCATAAAAACATTACTTTAATTCCATTCTCGTCTCGTTAAAAGTACTTCGAGTTTCCTCTCAGACTCGCACCGAAACGGAAGTCACTATTGAAAGGAGCGAGACGCAATTATCGAAAAAGCACCTTGAAAGCAATTTTAGCAACGTTCAAGAAAATTAAAAACAAACGTGGCAATTATTTTTAATTGCAGTCCTAACGCTATTACTAATTCCCCGAAAACTTTCAAAAACTTGAAATTACTACTTACAGCGTATCAGTATCAATGAGGAAAGGTATTTAAATGACACCTTCACGACTCTAAGTATATACCACTGCGAGTAACGACATTTTATCATGGATTTTTTGATTCCAATCTATACAGTAACGATGTTTGGAACGAACCTCAAACAACAACAACAAAATACAACGTTTAGCAATTCGTCTAAGAGCTCGGTGTACAGATCGTATTGATTATGAAAATGCACTGAAATAAATTCCGTTGCCTCGAGAACCGCGGGATTCATTTAAAACTTACGAACGCCGAAGTTGCAAGAAAACTCTGGTCGCAAAAAAAGGGAATCACGACGCTGTTATTTTCTTTTCATTAAGAGCGCCTCCCGTTTTTCCTTTCACCGGCCGTCTAAATCGAACATCGGGATTTTAAAGAAGGCAGCGGCAATTAGTTATTTCAATAGACATTCCATCGTCGATGCAATATTCCGCGATATCGCTGCCCGCT